CCCACCCCCACACACATCTCTCTTCACAGCAGCCTCTGGCCTGGGACTTGCACCCTGGCTCTGATGTGAGGTCCCAAAGCAGGGCCTTCTCCTCCTATCAGCCCTGCACCACATGACAGAAACCCCAGAGCTGCACATTTCCCAAGACTGGCAGGTGGAAGGCCCAGGCAGGGGAGACCAGAGCTACTTTTGATAGAGTTTTTTTAAATACTAGACTCAAAGAATCCATTTATTTTGTGTAGCCCTTTATAGTTTGACAAGAACTTTCATATCCATCACCCCATTGACACTTCAGGGCAATGGACTAAAGGTTATCACCCCATGTTACAGAACAGGGGAGGGAAGAGGGAGCTGAGTGGTTTCTTCGGTCAGGTGGCCTGTATGTGACTTGCCTGTCATTTTAACACCCCAGACACTCCGATTGGGAAGGACAACCAAGGCCGGGACGCTCAGTAAAGGGGCCATCCTGGCCATTCAGAGATACTCTTGGGATTCCCTGTTAGCTGTGGGTACTCCTGCTTGCCCTCAACACTTAGAAGACTGGATATGACAAAGATGGAGCCCTGAGCAGGAGCCAGGGCCATAAACCCTGGCCCATGATGGGTGGGCATACATCCTCAGAGATAGCTAGGTATCTTGAGATAATCGGTGGGAGAGCACCTCTGTGGAAGAGAATGTAGAATTCATGGGGAGACTGCCGCTGAGGCAGAGCCTCCCTCCAGGTGTGCCAGGAGAGTGTTACGGAATCTTGGGTTCCTGTACCCCTCAGCTCTTGGGGTGGCCCCAAGCCCATCACAGCAGCCTGGTTCTGTGCGCCATTGAGCCATCATTTTCTACATGTTGTGCCTGCCATGAGAGTGTTTGGAAGATTGCAGGGCTCCATCCATCCTCGTCACATCCAGTCTTCTAAGTGTTGAGGGCAAGCAGCATAGAGGAGCTAACAAGGACCAGGTTCCAGGGGCAGGTTGAAGACTCTGGCAGTATCTCTTAGGACTGTCCCGATGCCCCCATGATGCTGTCACAGCCTTACAGAGTTTCTGTGTCGCCATCAGTAGCAGCAAAGACCAGCTTGGAACAGGGCAGTCTCAGGTGGTGACTGAGCAGACCTCAGTGCTAGCTACTGTCTCCTCCAGGACACTAAGGCCAAGCGCTCAGATCTGGCCTTCCCAGGAGCCCTTGGCCAACGGAAACTTGGCAGGGCTCTGCCCTCTCTGGTATTGGTGCCAGACAATGAAGAACCTCTTCCTCAGTGCCAAGGCCCCTGAGGCCACAGAAAGAGGTTGAGGAAAGACAGGGAAAACAGAAAGGAAAGAAGCACGGGAAATGGGGTCAGCTCTTCCAGCTTCGGAGTCAGGGCCATAAAGAAGCTGGTCACAGGGATTTGATCAAGAGGTGGGTACCCAGCATAGGCTTTCTCTTAGTAACAGCTCTGCATCTTGAGTCCTGCTATTTAGCGAGGGAAAGGACAAGGCCTTTAACCTCCACGGGCAGCCCAGGATGAAGAAAACAGCTCTAAGACAGAAACCAGAAGAGCGGTCAAGGGCCTGCCAACAGGCTTCCCGAACTGCGCTGCAGTGCTTCCTCTGCCTGCCTGTGCTCACATCTGCTCAAGTTTCTGAAAAGTTACCCTGGGTCAGACACATGCACAGGACCTTGCCAAGTCTCTTTTAATCAATTACCATCAAGTCAGCCCCAGCTTCCTGCTGAAAGGGAGCTCCAGAAAGCAGGCTGGATCACTCCGCAAGTGCAGGAAGCTATGTTGGTCCCTTCCCACCCCCACACCCTGGGGGTCTGGAGTTCAATAAAGCATCCTGCTCTGGCTTTTCAGGAGGAAGTTGCATTAGAACCACCCTCCCCCCAACCCTTTCTTGACTAGATAGCAGTCACAAGCACCCACCACTGCAGAATGGCTCTCTTTTCCAGGTGATATGGATGTTGTGTCCTGATGTTGGACCAGAAGAGATGCCAGGCTGTCTCCTTGGAGTCAAGATGCCTTGCAAAGACTGAGTAGGCCTCTGTGTGTAAGGCCTCCCCTAAGACAGACAGCGACTCTGAAGGCCACCATGTAGAGGAGGCAAAGCTCCCAGTTCTGCCTCTCACTGGTGGTACGACTTCTGCTCCTAGGGAAAACTGTTGTGTTGGGGCTGACACTGGAGGAGGTCAATGACACTGGGACAAGCAATTTCTATGACTCTGAAGGTCTTGTTAAAAAAAAAAAAAGAAAAAGTCGGGATCTCCCTAGGGACACAACAAGTTAAAGCACCGCATTTTGAAGCTCTCTGAAGCTATTGCAGCAGGAGTTCGATCTTTGACCAGGGAGTGACCCACTTGGTGCAGCAGACCTCTCCTGACCGCCCACTGCTCCCCTCAGCAGTGTACTTCATCTATCTGCCTGTTCTGCCCCCCACTCTGTCCCTGGTGAATCCTCTCACCCACCACATCTCTGGCCTGTACCCTAGTTCTGTATACATAAATAAATAATTTTTTTAAAAAAATCATGCTGAGAGAAGGGTTTGAGAACATGAGTGAGAAGGATTGATATTGCAGACAGGGTGGACAGGGTCAAGGTCAACAGCGATTTGATAAGGAGGCATTGAAATCTACAGGAAATCTAGGAAGAAGCCATATCAACAGCTGGGGGAACTATATTCGAGAAAGAGAATTGTAGGTGCCCAGACCCTGAGTAGGAGCATGAGGAGAAGATACATGAAGAATAGTGAGGGGGCCACCATGGCCAGAGCTGAGGGGGCACCCAGGACAAGTGACCATGAGAGCGAGGAGAGCACCAAGTTCAGGTCAGGTCACAAGGGCCTTTGGGCCCTTGGCAAGGACTTGGATTTTTATTCAAAGTGACATGAGAATCATAGAGGGTCTAAGCTTAAGAGGCATGAAATGTTTTAAGTTTTTTTTGTTTTGTTTTGTTTTAAGATTTGTTTATTTGTGCATACAGAGCTGGGGTACAGGCCAGAAGTGCAGGGTCGGTGAGAGGACTCACCCCACAGTGGGGAGCAGAACAGGCAGATGTCAAAGTACACTGCTGAAGGGAGCAGCGGGTGAGTCAGGAGAGGTCTGCTGTGCCATGTGGTCACCTCTGGGGCAGGGATCGATCTCATGCTGAAGTGGCTTTAGCTTCTTAGTGCTGGGCTTTAACCCTCTGCGCCACCAGGGAGGGCCGAACTGCTTTAAATTTTCAAAGAATCGGGTACTATGTTTCGTTGGTTGCTATGGAGTCAGTGTGTGGAGTCAGTTGCCCTGTCTTCTGGTCCGTGTCTGGAAGCATCTCAAGGGCCTAAGCCAGGGCAGCTACAGAGGACCGACCCTGACCACAGTCACTGTGCCCCACGCCTATGAAGTATGCCGTCTCTGCTCTTGGAGAGCCACCCTCACCCCTCACACCATCTGCCCAGAACCTTACCTGACACCATCTCGCCACCATAGCCCTGCTTGACCAGGGAGAAGACCAGCTTCTGCTGGTGGGCACAGTCTATGCAAGCTTGCACCGCCTGCTGCAGGACTGCTGATGGCCTCTCTGGCCCGAAGTGCTGGGGGAGCTGCTGCACCTTCCTCCTCTCCAGGTACGGCCCTGCGTTGGCCTGCTTGTTGATGTAGAGGCAGACTGCGGAGATGGAGACCCACAAAGCCCTCAGCTTTGATGCACATCAAGCCCGGGGATGCACATCAAGCTCAGGGGCAGCCTCTGTGCCCGAGGGGGATGCCTCAGCCCTGCCCTCTTGGTGCTGGTCTTGGGAAATCCGAAAAGTACAAAAGTATGACTGATTTTCCCAAAATTAAGAAAAGAGAAAATAGCTAGTCATCCCAACTAGTGTGCACCCAGGATGGTCACCTGTCTAGGAACAAATGGACAGGTGGGTGCCTTCTGATGCACTCAGATCTGAATTGTAAACAATTATGGAGGCCTCTGTGTGCCCCATGTATAGATGTGACTCGATGCTGGGCATGGGCACACAGTCTTCCTCACTCGAGAGGAACTGCCAAGATATGCTTAGTGTTTTTTTTGTTTGTTTCTTTTTGGTTTACCTTCCGTGAATAGAAAAAAAATAAAGATGGTATTAATTACTTCAGACTATATAATCAATGATGTTCTAAAGAGAGTGCTATTTATAATATCAGAGAAAATAAACGTTCATCAACCCACTTCGGTGATCCCTACTAAAAGTCCCCACACTTTTAAAGTAATATATCCCATCATGAAAACATTTTTGATCACGTGCCCGAAATGTGTTTGTTTATAGCTTATGTACATCCTGACCAGTATTAATGTATTTTGTACATTTTAAAACATAACCAAATAATAGAAACATTTTAAGGATGAGATAAAAATAAATATTAATAGAGGTCATAGTCTCCCATACATTTAGGACTCCTCTTAGATCTCTCCTGCCCCAGTCCCAGAATATGAGCTTGTTACCTTGCAGACCAACAGTGCAAAGTTATGTCAAAGAAAGCTGCAGAAGAGACCAGAGTTTTGGAAGGATTAAATAGTAAAAACAAAGGTGAAGAAAATTAGTTTTTATTGAGCACCTACTATACCCCTAGCACTTTGTATATTTTATCTGATTTGATGTTCAAGACAAATGTGGCAATTAAATATTGTTATCTCTTTACCAATGAAGAAACTGAACTTTAAAGTAATTAGATGGCTGCTTGTGATGTCAATAATAAATGGTGCAAGTGGGATTCAGACATGATGTTGAGGCCTGTGCTCTTCACTCAAGTAGATGGCTTCTCTTCCTTTCATGCCAAGACTAAGGAAAATCTAATTCCTAAGGGACCCTCATGCCAGGCACTGTGATAGGCCTTACAGAGAAAATGGTGAACCAAATCAAGGTGGTCCCTGGCTTCCCAGAGCTAGTGAATAAGGTGAACTTACTCAGAAGATCTGCTTGGTCTGGCTGTGAGAAACACTGACTGGAGCTGTGAGAGCCCCCTGGAGACCTGGCAGGACTGACAGCCAGTGTTCTAGAGTGAAGGTGGCCTGAGATACAGGAGAGTATAGGTGACCGGAGGCAAAATCATCCTATATGCTCTGTATGCTAAGACCTTATGGAGGCCCCAGAGACTAACAGCTGCGCAGTATGCTGGATCATGGGGATGTCGACAGAGCCTGTAGGGCCTTGTTGGCCATGTTAACACATTTGGTCTTTGTCTAAGAGTCACAGAGAGGAAATGAAGGGATTTAAGAGAAACGGGAGCTTTGAAGAGGGTAGGATGAGGGGAAATTCTCTGTTTATTTATGTGTGTGTGTGTGAATGCATGTTGGAGAGAGTGAGGACATCTGATTGCTATTTCTCTTAAGATGGTATATTTGCGGACCTCCCTGGTGGTGCAGCGGGTTAAAGCACAGCACTAAGAAGCTAAAGCCACTTCTGCATGAGTTCGATCCCTGCCTGCCCCGGGAGGGGACCACATGGCATGGCAGACCTCTCCTGACCCGCCTGCTGCTCCCCTCAGCAGTGTACTTCATCGATCTGCCTGTTCTGCTCCCCGGTCTGTCTCTGGTGAATCCTCTCACCTTCCACATCTCTCTGGCCTGTTCCCCAGTCCTGTATGAATAAATAAAAAAATCTTAAAAAAAAAAAAAAAAGATGGTATATTTGCTTGGCACATGCCCCATGAGAGAGTGGGTCAGTTCTACTCAGATTGGATTAGAGGGCACCAAATGGGACTAGAGGAAGTCAGGACTCCAGGAAGTTAAAACACAGGGATGGGAACTATTTAAGTAGGTACACTACTGGTAAAAAAAAAAAAAAAAAATACAAATTGGCTCCGAAATAAAAATAAAATAGAAAACCTGGGCCAAAGAAAGCAGATTGTGATTCGGAGCAACCAACAGAACCCAAGATACATTGCAAACCAAGTTTCAAATACCCAAACTTAAGTAGAACAATTACATTCATATTCTGATAAACTGGTTGTCTGTGTTTTTGAGCTAATACACTGAGTGCTTCATTTCAGCCATTTCCATGGCAGCTCTCTAATTTTCATAGTAATGCTGACAGCCCCTCCCCCCCCCCACTCCAAGTTCATCCTGAGTACCTACCTGTGAGGGCCTGTGGGGCAGCCAGGTTGGGGATGGTGGCTGCGTCCTGAGGGATGGAGCTGAGGTCGGGCTCCGGCGTGCTCCGTGGTGGTGAGAGGGCTAAGGGGGTCATGAGAACCGGAGACTTGAGCTGAAAGACAAAGCCTGTTTGGTCAATGAAAATCTGGAAACACTCTAGTTGTTTTAACTACTACCACTGTGTAGAGTAGGTTGTGAGGCTAGTTGTACCTCAGCTGTCGGACAAGGGCTTAAAATACAAAAATATACAAAGAACTCATAAAAACTCAACAGTATAAAAGCAAACAGCTGTTTAAAAAAATGGGTAGAAAAATCTGAATAGGCACTTATTCAAAGACAGTGTGAAAGGATGTTTGTCATTTCTAATTATAAGGGAAATACAAATCAAACTGCAAAGAGATAGCACTTCCCACCTGTGAGAATGACTGTTCTCCAGAAGACAGGAAAAGTTGAGGAGGCTGTGAAGAGAAGGGCACCCTTGTCCACCATTAGTGGGAATGTAAATTGGTGCGGCCATTGTGGAAAGCAGCATGGAGAACGCTCAAAAAATGTAAAGCAGAAGCTCCATGTGATTCAGTTACCCCACTTCTCAGTATTTCTCCCAAAATACAAAAACACCAATGTAAAAAGATATATACAGCCCCATTTTTACTGTGGTATTATTTACAATAGCCAAGCATGGGGGGAAATATAGTGATCATTGTCAAAAGGCTGGATAAAGAAAATGTGGCATATACACATGCAGTAAAATATTACTCAGCTATAATAAAAAAAATTAAATCCTGCCATTTGCAAAAATATAGAAGGATCTAGTGGGAATTATGCTTGGTGAAAGATGGAAAAAGAAAAATACCATATTATTTCACTCACCTGAGGTATAAAAGTAAGCAAATGGATGAACTAAGTAAAAGAAAAATAAACTTTTGGGCTATAAGACCAATTAGTGGTTATCAGACGGGAAAGGGGGAGGGGTGAGTAAATGAGGTAAAAGGGGCCGATCTCATGGTGTGAGAGAGATTAGACTGTTGTTAGAAAATGTCATGTACTGTATATCATGTTGATGATTAATGATGCACATATGAAACTTATATAACATCCTAATGCAGTGTTACTCAATAAAGATGCATGGCTTAAATAAGTAAATGAAAAGTAGCAATTGTTGGCAAGCATGGAGAGAAATTATCATCTTTGTGCATGTGATAGGAATATGATAGTAGAGCCACTATCTAACACTGTAAAATGGCCCCCTCAAGAAAATGAAAAATCATCATGCAAAAGAGTGGAAAGCAGGGTCTGAAAGAGCTATTTCTGCAGTCATGTTTATGACAGCACTATTCACAATAGTCACTGTGGAAGCAACTATAAATGTCCATTAACAGATGACTGAGTTAAGAAAACGTGTCTTCAAGGAACTATGCAGCCTTCAAAAGGAAGGGAATTCTGACACGTTCTGCAATACGGACGAAACTTGAGGACATTATGCTAAGTAAAATTAAGCCAGTCACAAAATCACAATACCTGCATGTTTGCACTTATATGAGGTATCTAGTGTAGTCAAATTCATAGAAACAGAAAGTAGATTGGTGGTTGCCTTGGTCTGGGGGCAGAGGGAACTGGAAGTTGTTTTCGATATGTATGGAGTTTCGATTTTGCAAGATGAGAAGTTTGCACAAGAATGTGAATATAATTAACACCACTGAACAGTACACTTATCAGTGGTTATGACTGTCAATTTTATGCTGTGCTTTTCTTAATCACAATTAATTTTTTTGTTTGTTTTTAAAGGGTTTTGTTTTGCTTTTGATATGGGAGAAATAATAGGGTTTTGATGCTGCTAGACATAATCTAGTAGAGAGGAAAAAATTGGTGATACAGGGAGTGTACAGCAAACAGTTGGCTAGAGGACTCTTATGGTGAGCAGGGAAGAGATTTAGTGAATAAGGGAGACAGCATTAGTGGACACCAAATTTCCTTCTGTTGCCTTAAGAAGGAAGGTAGAATATATGGGTCTGGTTGGGGGTAGGTAGATGGTGGAGAGCAGGGGGCAGTTTATGGAAGGTCTTTTCTGATGGTTCCTACTTTTTCAGTAATACAAGAAGTTGAGTGTACAGATGGAGGAGGAACGTGAGTGAAGGAATTAGGGGGATGAGACCAGCAGGAGATGATTGCGTGTGATGGCCTGAGTAGCATGGAGGAGACATCGGGATGTATAAAATTCATTTAAATTTATTGAAAGCAAATACGTTAACTGCACAGGACTGTAGGGTAAAGAGTCAGGGGCTCTTGACAGAGACCATGTGATAACCAGGAGCTACAATTAACAGTAGAAATTTCATCTCACTCTGAATTTACATTTGAAAAGTTTAAGGCCCATCACACAGGAATATGCAGCTAAATATTATGAAAGTAAAAGAAATCTCATTTTGGGGTTGAGTGGACCAGGCACCCACCATGACGCCAGCCATCTGCTGAGTGTGACAGGGCAGCCTCCTGCCTATCCTCCGAGGTCAGGCACCAATAGCCGCCGCCTGGCCTTTCTTGGAGTGACACCCACCTGCACAGTGCTGGAGAGGCTGGTTGTGACTGTCCCTGAGGATAGTGGGCGACAGGTTCTAGGAGCACCTTGGCTAAATCCTCCTTTACAGGCTTAAAACCTTCTGACCCTCAACCTACAGATAATGATGCTGATGGCAAAAACAGTATTTCCCCAGCCTCTTTATGTAAATTACACAGTGGTCTTTGTGACCATTCTCTAGAGAGGTGGTGATGATGCTGACACTGATGCTAAGCTGGAGGAGGTGGAGGGGGAGGGGATGGAGAGAGAGGGGGAGGGGAAGAGGATTGAGCTGGAGAAGGAGGAGAAATAAAGGAGGAGAGTGGGGGGGCAGCTAAAATTTAGATAGGCAGACAGTATTTAATTAATCATGTAAACCCATTACCACCCTAACAACATCTAAGGCTTCCTCACTATTTTAATATTTACCAGGGAGGAGTCTGCCCATTGGCCCTATCTCCAATGAAGTAAAATAATTTTAATTGCATGTTTCCATTGCCCATCATTTCTGCCCAGATGAAGCAATTAAAGGGATCAAAAGAAGTCCACTGGTTGCAAGAAAAACACTTCTGTATTCTGAAACTGCTGAGAGTTTGAACAAAGAAAACCTCTCTTGCAACTATGGATGGTACATTGACTTTTTAAAAACATCATTTGATTTGAGAAGAAACTAGCAGCAGGCATATCTTTTGAGTTCACATTCTGAAATTTTTCTCTCCTTGTTTAATGTAGAAAATAAAAAAATAACCCAGTCTAAAGAGGAGCTCACCTGTGATTTTAGAAAGTTCTTAAAACAGACTGAGTTGTCTGGTAGCAGCGTCTCTGGTTGTGGTGTGGGGTTCTTTCTGTCAGTGCCCTCCCCCGTGTGCATGAGGGCCCCCCAGGGGCCCCAACCTATGCAGCTCTTCTCTGTCAGGGCATTTGGCTTTCGCATTGCTGTGTTTTAAAAAATATGTATTTGTGGGCCCTCCCTGGTGGTGCAGCAGGTTAAAGCACAGCACAAAGATGCTTAAGCCACTTCCACATGAGTTCGATCCCTGCCTGCCCCAGAGGAGATCCACATGGTGTGGCAGACCTCTCCTGACCCACCCACTGCTCCCCTCAGCAGTATACTTTGTCGATCTGCCTGTTCTGCTCCCCACTCTGTCTCTGGTGAATCCTCTCACCCTCCGCATCTCTGGCCTGTACCCCAGTTCTGTACGAATAAATAAATAAATCTTCAAAAATATATATGTATTTGCTTTGTTTATTTTTTATTGGGCAAGACAAAACAGAACACTCACAACTCAGTTTCTAATACAAGTCTTCAGTAAAAGGGAGCAGTGCTCCATAGAGAAATGGTTGTTTCTGGACTAGAGCAGGGAATGTACAAGATGAGCTTGGGGCATTTTGGGCTGAAAGCACACACACACACACACACACACACACACCTGTTGGGGTAGGTCATAGGATTTACAGGGATTTAGGAGTCAACTGAAAGAGCTTCCAATCATTAAAAGTGGATTAATCTGAGCAAGAAATAAAAAAATGGAAAAAAATTATAATGAATTATAATTCAAAGTATACAGTAAAACTCCCTCACTCCAAACTGACACAGATGACTAAGTAAATACCTGGGAGAAAACAGTCACATCTCCTATGCACACAAACTCCAAGAACATCCAAATTATTGGGGAGCATAACTCCTCACTCCTTATGTGCAGTCTGCACATAGTGGTTTCCTTCACAGAGAACAGTAAGATAACAGAAACAAGTGTGGTTTCCATGGGAGAGACCAGACAAACACGACGGGCCATGTGGCCAGCGTGGCCAACCACAGTGATGAGCCATGTCCGCAGTGAACACCTTTGGTAGGACAAGCTGGAAATGGCACCTCACCTTGACGACTCTTCCCCCAAATGGAGAACCGCAGTCTAATCATGAGAAAACATCAGACAAACCAAATCACGGCATGTCTTACAAAATACTTGACCAGCGCTCCCCTCAACTGCCAGCATCAGGAAAACAAGTAAAAGCTGGAAACATTCACAGCTGGAACTATCTACAGAAACATGTGACACATAACACGGTGTCCTAGAGGGGTCCTGGGACAGAACAGGGTAACACTAATAAAATCTGAGTAGAAATAGACATTATTTAATAATCATATGTTATTATTGGCTCACTAGTTGAGGCAAATAAACCAACCCTAGTCATGTAAGATGTTAACAGTAGGGGAAGCTGGGTATGGGTATGTGAGAATTTTCTATTCTGTCTTTGGAGAGGGTTGCAGGAGGAGAGGCCTCTTTCTTGGCAGTGCCAAACTTGAGGGGTTTGCGGCCCACCCCCCACACCAACCCCACCCCCGTCTTGCTCTGACACACAGGAGCTAGTCCTCAGCCTTCAAAAGCTGCAACCTGGTACAGATGCTGCTAATACTGGCACCTTTATCTGAAACTCAAAACCTCAGTCAAATGGTGTGACAGCTCCTCTCCTGGAGTATGGTTGCCAGTGTTACTGGAGGGGCAGTTTTGCCTTGTTAAAGGATCGTGAGATGAAACTAAAGAGTAGAGCACAGG